TTTTTTTGAGATATTTTCAGGTATTGATATCGAACATTTATCAACTGTTGCTGCTGAATCTGTTGAAATCGATGATATAGCACGAAGAGCATTACATGTTCGAAGTATGATACAACGAACACAAGAATCTTTAAGAGCAGTTGATAAAGTAAATTAATAAAATCATAACTTCTTTCGTTTATATATAAAGTTTTGATTTCTAGTGTGAAAAACCAGTAATAGCTGCTATTCATGGTTACTGTATCGGTGCTGGTATTGATCTATCAGCTTCTTGTGATATTCGTTACAGTTCACGTGATACGACATTTTCTATCAAGGTATTGATATTTCCATAAATTAAATGTCGAATATATATGTTTGTACCTTTAGGAAGTCGACATAGGTTTAGCAGCTGATGTCGGTAGTCTTCAAATTTTACCTAAATCAATTACCGATCATGGTCTCTTCCGTGAACTTGTTTTTACATCACGAACATTTGATACTAACGAAGCACAACAAATTGGACTTATTAGGTAAACATTGTAATGAATATCTCAGATGGCAAAATACTTCATGAATCATTCGAACTAATACTCTAGGAAAGCCCCAATATTTACGGATTTTAAAAAACTATGGAAAACAGACGGTTGATTCGATTTTTATAATCCACTCAAATCTGAATAACGGCTTGTTCATCGAGATTTCATGCAATCGATGAATACTGTAACTTCTATCACCACACTCACTGACAGTTTGTGGGCACAGAATAAATAGTTTGACTGTCGTGGTTTCTTGAAAATTTTCTAATAAAACTACAGAATCAGCAGGATTGACTCAGAAAAATCAGTTAATTACTATTTATAAAAATAATTCAAATTCCAGTCATTTTTATATCACACACCGTTATGGTAGAAAGTGCATCATCTATCCTCATCTTCACACATTCCTACACACTTCGTCCATGTAAAATACAAAATATGCTAGCACAATGACGCATATGATATGCATCGCAATCTTCACAAACCGTCATATCTAATGTTGCGGTAATTAATGAGTCCAGTTCCCTGTGTTTCAAATTTTTCGAGGAAAGGGACTAATATTTGATCTACTCAGACTTTCCTTTATACAAGGCTAGACAATCGGATGCTTAAATGTTTTTAAAAAAGTCAAAGATCATCTCTAGAATAGTTGTTAGTATTCCCTCCATCGTTGAATGATAAAAAATGGATATCATTTTATTATTCCTAGCCGTGTATTTGATACTCGTGAAGCTTTACTCGATGCAGCTATATCTTTAGCAAATGTTATTGCTTGCAAGAGTCCTATAGCTGTACAAGGTTCAAAAATCAATTTAAATTATGCACGTGATCATACTGTAGATGATAATTTTACTTTTGTGGTATGTTATTAATTAGAATTTTCTTTATTTAATAAATTTCCCATTTATTATTTATATAGCGTACATGGAATAGTGCTATGTTATTGACTGAAGATATCGTGAAAAATCTTATGACAACATCGGTATCGAATGAAAAAAGTAAACTATGAACCAAGTGAAATTGGATTTTGAAGATTTTGTAAAAAATAAACATTTTCTTTTATCCATAAAATTTTGCAGAATATTCCGGATGACATTGAATAGCAGTTTTCAAAATGAGATGAATTAGAGTTAATATTAGAATTTTTAGTAGATGAATTTCGTTGTCGGAGAATTTGATCATATTCTTTTTTAATGAAACTCGTATAGTGGTAGATTGATTGATTTGAATACAATTGACATTTATACGAAAAAAAAAAGACGAAAGGAAGTTCCAGCAGAAGGTAATTTGATTGATGACGATGGATAAAGTTTTAGATTTCATAAGAACATACAATAAAAATATCAAATTATTAGTATATTCTTATTTACCATCAT